CATAAAGACACATTACAGAGAAAATGGGGAGAGCCTACTACCTTTTCTTTCTAGTCAACAGCTTAAACAAGTTTTGCAAAACCCCTCAAATGTTTTGCATGAAGTACTTACCAAGTATGTGCCCAGAACAGTAGGCCTACTAATGGGCCCACACACTAGAGGGATAGATAGATCCCGGAGAGCAGTTTGCCAGAGCATTAGAAGAAAAAGACAGATGCCACACTGCAAGCTAATTACCCAGCAGGAATTAATCTACCATAGTAAGACAGGACTATTGATTTTTTTTGAGACGAAGTCTCATGTAGCCTGTCCTCAAGCTCAACCACATAGCCAAGGATTATTTACAACTTCTGATTTTCCTTCCTTTACCTCCCAGATGCTAGATTATAGAAGTGTGTCACTATGTCATTTATGGAGTGCTGGGGATCAAGCTCAGGTTTATGTGTGCACACTATCAACTGAATCACACTCGAGCCCCATTTCCATTTTCTGTATGCCATTAATAGGCACTTCATTAACTGCACACAAATTCAATAATTTAGTTAAACAAACTAACTCTAAACCAAGTCATGCTCCTTTCTGTCTACCAGCGCACATCAAACTAAATGATCCTTCCCATCTGCCTTGGAGCTATCTTGGCATCTATCCTGCAGAGGTGCTGTCACAGGCTGAAGATGCAGCAAACAGCTCCCCAGATGTGCAGAACTGGCAATACCCTGTTCTCGTTAACATGTGATCAGCAAGCTTTAAGAAGGGTTAGGATTTCTTCAGTTGAAAGTTTTCTGAAATAAGACCCTTCCATCCTAGAAGGCAACTCTGAACAAAGCCTTGTACAACACAAGGGACTGAGGAGGGGGCAATCTTTATTGGGCAATGAACCCCAGTAAATTTCAGTGCTTTGTACTGAGCTGGCAATGCAAAACCACACAGAGTAACCAAAGTGTCTGGCAAAGTAAGCAGAAAACCAGACATATAAACTCTAGCCCCCACATGCCCATCAAACTATCCCTCATCTTCCTATTCTGTGGAAGGAACCACTAGTTCCACTATGGGCTCAAAACAAAGTCTGTATTGCCAAAAACACCCACTCTTCAGGCAGGAGAAGACCACCCCTAAGAGCCACCCCCCCCCCCCAAAGTTGGCTGTGTGATCTCCTTTGAGAAAAGGAACACTCAGTTCTTTGTTGTCTTGTTTTACAATTATTTACTCTGCCCATAGAAATCTGACGGATTTTAGAATGCTGGGCTCCACAGTATTATCCATCTTCCCATCACCCTGGTGTCAGAGAATGAGCCAGGCCTTAGAAGCAAATATTTTGCAAGGCTTTCTTTGAGAAGAGAATCTATGAGGTAATTCTGACTCTATGTGCTGTAAGAACAGGATTTCAGAAACAAAGGATAACTGTGCCACCCTTAAGGTTTTCAATTTGCAAATGACTGCCTAGCCCCTCACCAACGCCTGTAGAACTTTCTGAAAATTCTACACTATACTGTACGGGGGGGGGGGGTAATCACCTCTTCTACTTTGCTATTTATATAAGTGTTTGAAAAACAACATTTGTTTTAGAATATCTGCATCCCAGAGCAGCTTCAGTAGGGTTTTGGCTGACTTAGGACAGAGTTAGGTCGCTGCATTCCGCCACCAACCCTACCTTGAGGCTGCAGCAGCACTGCTAGACATCTGGCTCCTTGAGGAGAGACATGCCTGCAGCTGACAGCCCTGGCACAAAGACTCTGCCAAATTGATTACTTAGAATAAAGGACACTATAACTCATTAACAATTAAGATCTTGGGTCAACTGTAAAAGGTCTTTGAATTGTTGCTGGAACAAGTGCTACTTAACTTCTTCTCTCCAAAAGTTAATTACTTAGAGAACAAAAGACTGAAGAACAAAATCAGCCAGGCAGCCTCATGGTCTGATGGTCTTTACAGGCTCTCTCGGAGCTATGGTTTTAGTCTTCTGTCCAAAGCATAACTCAACATAAACACACACACACACGCCCTCAAGCACAATACTTACTTCTTTAAAAACATGTTTAAGGACTAGTGAGATGGCTCAGCAAGCAAAGGCACCTGCCACCAAGCCTGTCAACCTGAGTTCCATCCCCAGGATCCACATGGTAGACCAAAAGAACTGGCTCCTATTCTCTGACCTCTGCATGAGACATGCCTACACATATACCTACTTATACTACAACACACGTGTGCATGCGCAAACACGCAAACACACACACACACACACACACACGCAGTAAAACTTTAAAGTTAATTAATTAAAGCAAAGTTTAAAACAAGGGAAGAGGGTGGGGAGGATGGCACATCTGGTAAAGGCTCCTGCCACTAAGCCGGCCTGGGTTTGATCCCTGAGCCCCACATGGTGTAAAGAGAGAACTGACTCCCACAAGTTGTCCTCTGACCTCCATATGCCAGTACGGCATGTATATGCCCATGTACACACACAAAATCAATAAAATGCAGTAAAAATTTAATACTCACACAAAACAATAGAAACAAAGCAAAGGAGGAGCCCAAAGACCAAACTGAAAAACTCAATTTACAAGAGAAACAAGAAGTAGTCATCAAAGGTTTTAAGACATTGTTATAGTCTCCCAGACAGAAAGATTCTTTTCTACATTCAGAAGGAAGGTAAATTTAGAATGAAGCATTAGGCCTTAGCTACTCTGGCATTTATGAAACCATTTTTGGCAGGTGTTCTGCCAAACAGTCTATATTTAGTATGTATGCCTCAGAAACTTAAATGAACTCAAAGAGTTTGAGCTGGGAACAGCCAGCCTCCATTGAGCTGTGCAGCCACGGGCCGCTGCCATACAGAATGCTGGGCTGGGCGCTCTGCCACAACGTACACGTGTGCACGCACACGCCAGTTCTGAAGAGTCTCTATTTTCAAAGCTCTAATGGCTTGACCTCAACACCTGCTGCACTTCCTGAAGACAGACAGGCTCTGGAGCTCCACTTGTTCCTCACACACGGCTGCACTTTCTAGGAATGACCGCACACACAGAGGCTGGCCAGCTGCCAAGGCGGGGGCAGCAGCCGCCTCGGGTCTGAACTTTCCCAGCGCTGTCAGGGCGGTTCCTGCTATGAGCTGACTCAGCGGCCACCATGGAACGGTGCCAACTACACAGCAATGCAGGGGCTGCCGGCAATTCACAGATGTTTTACTAAACCAAAGAAATCAGCCAGAAGGCAGATCTGGGCTGGTGGCCAGGTGCCGCTGTCGTGGAAGCTGGGATCCTGATTCTAGTCTTAGCGCTGCAGGTACCCCCCATGGGTGATCTGTGTCTCCCAGTGCCTTCTCTGCTTCAGAGGGATGCCCATTAGGACATGGAAGAGGAAGGCACGACAATTGTACAAGACAATTTGTGCAACACATCCGCCAAATGCCTGGCACCAGACAGGCATTCACATGGCTCACTTGCTCTTCCTTTACAATGTCCTTGAGAAATAAACTCATAACTCTCCTATTTCAGCCTCACAAATTTAGAGCTTATGAATATAAACCATACTTAGCTTCATTATTTTCAATCTGCAATTGATAAAACACAGGCTCAGAACAATTTAAAATGCTATCAAAATATCAGTGAACAGACATGAAGAGATGGGATTAGAGCCCGCTGTTGACGCTATTGTATAAAACTCAGATAAACTGCACAGGGCTCCTTGAGACAAAGATGCCTATTTATTTTTCAGTTTCCAAAGGACCTTGTCAACTACGACTTTGCAATTGCCCTTTTGTAAGCCATACATATTCACAAATGCCTTCTAAGTAGCATCACTGGATTACAGAGACAGTATATATGTAAACTCAGAATATCTAGGTACTAGTAGCCTTATTTATCATGAATGTCCTGTCTATAGCACCAACAAGCCACCCTGGAAGAATTTACCATTACTCTCATATTTTGACCACTGGAAAACATCAGTGTAGGTCACAAGGAAATTATAAAGACAAAGGCTTAGTTGAAAAGAGATCCATCCTTAGGGCCTATCCTCCAAAATTATTCAATTACTAGGACTCCAAGGTCTGCCTTATAAAAAGCTTCCTACTTGCATGCTGCTCCCTAGCAGTGCCCTCCAAAGAAACAAGTAAAACCCCTACAGTTGACTCTAATATTCAACCATGTTTGGAAGTAATTTCAACTTTCTTTGAGTAGAAAGGGAATTCTGAGGTCTCCCTTCCCTCTTTTCAACCAGACGATGTAAAAAAAATAACAGAATCATGTCTATAATGCTCTCTGTTGAGAAATATTCAGAAGTGCTTTTTAGCAGCTATATTCAACTTCAAAACAACCGAAAAACATGATCTTGGGTTTACTTAGAGCTAAAAAACTAACAGGGAAAATTATTCTACATTCCTACTAGGAAAACTAATCAGAACCATAAATTTCATTATTTAAAAATTTTTAGACAAGGTCTCACCATGTAGTCCTGGCTGGCCTGGAACTTAGTATTCAGACTAGGCTTGAACTCACTGAGATCTGCTTGCCTCTACCTACCAAGTACTAAGATTACAGGTATACACTAACACACCCAACCTTTTCTACTGCTTCTTCTACTGCCACCTCCTAAGTGCTGGAATTACAAGTGTGAACCAGCCACTTTGTTTTTTAGATAGTTGTAATGAAACACAGCTGTTACCTCATTCTTCCTTTAAAAAAAAAATAGAGGAAAGATTCTTTAACAGAAACTTGGAACAAACCAGACACATTAACAGTAACTTGTACAGTCTAATGCTTTAATAAAAAGAACCATCACTTAATATTTTTGTGGTCCTGGAGACTGAATCTAGCTCCTGACACTATCATGGAACTACACCCTCAGATCAAGCAAACAAATGCAGAGAAAAACTTCAGACTATTTCTATCTAGGTCAGTGACATGGGGTGAAAAGGTGTATTCCCAGCTACTGCCCACCCAGCACCCTCTGTGACTGACCTCTAGGTAGAACAATGGCCTTCCTCCTATAGCAGAAACACTGACCTGCTTAAGCTGCTCATCCAGATTCCAGCTCGACTGCCCAGCTGTGGGGATGGAAGGTGGGGCCTTGGAAGTATCTTTGGTATGGTCTTCTTTAGCTTGTTGTCCCTGTAGTGGGAGTCCAGGTGCTGGAAGCAGGCTGGACATGGGTGCTGCTCTGGGGTCTTGGCGAGTTGCTTTTTGGACATGGAAATATTTGGAAGCAGCCTGGGCCTCTTTCTCAGCCACCTCTGCAACATTATCATCTCCATCTTCGTCTTCCAGACCTCCTTCCTCTTCCTCAGGTTCGGAGTTGATGCTGCTCTGCTCAAATACTTGGGTCACTGGTGTGGCTGGTGTAACTCTGGCTAAGGGGCCCAGAACAGGGCTACCAGAAGGTCTCCCAGGTGTGACAGAAAGGAGAGTAGGCTGGGTGGTTAGTTTGGGGGCATACAGCAACTGTGCTTCTCTTGTCTGCAGGTTCTGCTTCTCTCTGGCATCCATCTGTAGAGGAGCCTGGTGTGGCTGCTTTTGTTGCTGCTGCAGAGGCTCCATTACTGTCTCAGACTTCACCCACAGACTGGCATGGCTCTCAACCTGGGCACAGACCAGCAGGCACACTGGGTCTATATTTTAAGTGAGTAACCAAAACCACAAGGGAGAAAGAAGGGGGAAAAAACTATGTAAAACAGGTATAAAAGATTGTCTCTTCTCCAGTAAAGTTCTGAATACTAAATGCTCCTAAACCTGACTTTCAAGATGAGTAAGTTCTAGGGGTTTGTTTGGAGCGTGGGGAGGAAAAGTTACAAAAAAGAGAACAGGATCTAAGAGGGGAAATAGGGGGCAAATCTTGGTAGGGGTAGATTTAAACATTTTGTTTTAAAAAAAGGAAATCCAGAAAACATTTAAGTCTGCTAACAACTGAGTTCGTATCTCTCTTACTCTCTACTTTATCAAACAGTTATCTACTGGACTTGTACTGTACAGGTGTTGAATTATAGAATTTGTAGTAACTATGAAAATTGAAATTACAAAGGCAAAGAATAGTCTGCCTGCAAAAGAAAGAATATGGCTTATATTTCCCAGACTCTCTGGAGAAGGAGACTCCTATTCAAGCTAGACACAGAGCTATAAGAGATAGACAGAATGACTTTTCTGACGGAAAAAGCAAGATCAAGCAAACTGCTCTTGGTTTAAAACTTCACAAATTTCCCAGATCAAATTGCCAGCTAGTTTGTTGAGTGGACTGAACCAGGCTAAGTGGACATTATAGCCTCCAAAAGAATCCGGTTTCAACAACATGAAAGAAAGAAACATGCAAGGAGGCAAGAGTCTCAAATTGCAAGCTTCCCTCAAAAACAAACGGGGGGGGGGGGGGGGGGGAATTCCTCTGGAGATTTTAAAGTTAATTAATTTGAAACAGGTACCAATATTGCCTAAACAAGTCAATGCTACATTTTTTATAAACCACAAGTAAATCTCCTCACATCCTCTTTCTGTCTGATTCATTTCTACTATATTTATTTGATGAATACAGCAAGAAAAGGCTTCCAGTCCCAAAGTATTCTGGGGGCAGGTTTATCTGCATTCTTACCAATCCGTCTCCAAACACAAACCCCTTTCACACCCTGCCACCTCTAACCCTTCTCAGGCTCCCACCTTCAACAAGCCTCACTTAAATTATATTTTCTCACAAGTCTTCCGAAGTGAATGGATTACCATGCCAAAGTAAATTTTAGGGTGAAGAGGACTGGCACCAGGGTGTGCAATTTTGTTGCCACATGAAAGGGGAAGCTGCCCTGTGCAGGTTGGGACTTGATATCTGCATTGTCCCAGTGTTTTAGGACTGAGCTGGAAGATGGGGTGAAAGCATCTTGAAATGAAGAAGAAAATGAAATCCTCAGCATCTTCAAATATTCACGGGGGAAGTAATCCCCAGCAAGAAAAATGGCTTTGATCTGTAAATTTCTACATGCTTATCGGGGTACAATTTTTAAAGCTGGGGGGGGGGAGACCAAAAAACAACCAGAGTCATGCTAGACGATCCTCAATTTGTTTCTTAGAAGCACTCGGTTGTAGTTTTCACAGGCGGTTAAAAGATTCAAATTCCAATTTGCCTCTTACTGCCCGTACTTCCTCTTTAGCAGTTTAGAAAGTGTAAGTTATGCCTGCAGCAATACTTTCATTCTGCTTTAGCTCTTATTCCGTAAGAAAGCCTGAAGGATTTACACCCAGTTGGCAAAAGTATTCATCTAAAAAGCCACTTTGGGGATAAAAATACAGAAACAAAACACATACACACACACACAAAAGAGTAACAAGCAATTCACTGGTGATTTAAAAATATTCATATAATCATTAACGTCAACCAACACAATGGAAGTATTTCAACCAACTCCTGCCAGTCAGTGCACAAACGTTTCTTGTCTGGTTGGCACCATCTTCTCGGTAGGGCTGCTCTCAGCCGAAGGGGAGGTGTCCCGTAGCCTCTTTCTTTAGTAAGAAATGACTCGGTTCTGCAACTCAATGGGCTCATTCTCCAGAACAGAGCCCATCTTATCCCAACCCTAAGCAGCCAATAATCTAAACAATACTACCAACATTTAGAGAATTTACGCCTCAGAAATCTAAACCACTTCATCCCTTCAGCCCTCGCTCTATCCTCTAAACTTCCCGGACCTCCAAACGGAGCGCAACGGACTGCTTTGCCGCTTGAGCCCGGCCTTGCTGACCATTTCCCTTACCTTCGTTTCCAGCAGCTCCGTCCCCGACCGACCCCCTTGAGCCTCTCCGTCCATTCTTTACCCCCCCTCCCAATGGAGCCCTATCACTTTTATTCCAACCAAACCCTCTCTGCCAATCTCCAGGCTCTTCTCCAAGCATCCCAACTCCACCTAAGCTCGCCCTGAGGTTCCCCGGGGGTCCCTTACCTTCCCCATCTCTTTATCTCAGATCACTCCTCTGGGCACAGGGAGGATAGGGCTCCTCCCGGCGCTCGCACTCTTCTTCAGCGGTCCCCCCGCTTCGCTGGCCCGCGTCTCCCCTACACACCTGCCTCGCCTCCCATTTCGGTCCCCTCCACCTGCCACAGCCCCGCTCCCGCCGCGGCTGAAAGAACCCAGACCCGCGTAGCTCACCTATGCGCAGCGTTCCGAGCTCGGGCTCCCGGTTGGGAAGGAGGCAGCCGCTCAGGCCCCGGCACAGCAGCTGAGCCTCCGACTTCTCCGCAGCTGGGGGCCACAGCCGGGGCGGGGCCCACACCGGAAGCGGTGCCGCGGGGGCCGGGCCATCGGCCTCGGGCGGGGGAGGGGCAGTCAGGGGCGGGGCCTCGCGGACGGGGGCGGGGCCTGAGGCCGGAAGCAGCTAAAAAGGGAAGGAGGTGGTGGGAGGTGGGGTACGAGGCGGAAGTGACTCCTAGGGTCCGCCCTCCGGTTAAACCCGTGGGCGGAAGCTATTTAAGGCGGGCGGAAGCGTCAGCCAATGGGAGAGCGCAGACACAGAGGCGGTCCGGTGAGAGTGCTTTCGCGGGGAGTTGAAAAAAAAGCAGGGTAACTACATCCACTCTGCTTTCTGGCTGCGGAGGTTGGACGTTCTTTGCAATAAGTTAAAGAGAGGGGTTAAGAGTGCTATCTTTCAGCCAGTCTTCATTAAGCATTCCCGTTTTTTATCAGGTTATCTCTGAATTATTCTAGACTGAGATTTTTCCCGTCTCCAGGGGCTGCTGCAACCCCTGGAGCGCCACCTCCATCCTCAATTCCGCCCTAATCACCAAAGTTAAAATTTTTCTTTCCTCCGGTTTCTAAAAGTAGGGGTTATGTGACTAATCCTGGCACCGCTTGTAAAATAAAAAGCAAAACAACAACACACACAAAAAAGCCTTGCTTCTGCGACGCTTGGTTATAGTGAACCTATCAGTTTATGCGTACACCTCCGTGGTTTAACTTTCTCCCCTCTGATCATCTTCCTTGATCCAGAGTCTAAGATTCAATTAACATTGAGCCTTACACCCGATTTCCAATCCCAGTCAAAACCTGGGGTTTCTTTCCTTCCTTTCCTTTTGGTTTTGGTTTTTGGTTTGTTTGTTTGAGACAAGGCCTCTCACTGAATCTGTAGCTCATCTATTTAGCAAGAGTGGTTGACCGGCAAGCTCCAGAAATCCTCCTGTCGCTACCTCTCCAAGCGGTAGAATTACAGGTGTGCAGCACACTAGGCTTTTTACTTAGGTGTTGAGTATCCAAATTTAGGCCTTTCTTCTTTGGTGCCAAACACTTTACTGACGAATCCATCTCCTGAGTCCTCGATGGAGTTTTTTTTATTATTATTATTTTTAAAAACTGGTTTTTTTTTTAGTGTGTATCAGGATACTGAACCATTTCCTCCCACATTGCTCAAACGTGGTACCATCGCTCTTAGAGTTTTATCAGAAACTCCAATCTGCTGAAAACATCTCCTTTATCTCTTACACTTTAACCTCCTCTACTTCCTTCCTTATCCTAGATTCAGTGGCATTTCATTACAACCCCAATCTTTCAATCCCCCAACCTTTCTTTTCCTCAACTAAGACCTCTAACCAGAAGAGACTTTATACTTTTCATACCTGTATCTTGCCATAGAAAATGATCTGATTGGAAAGATTGGAGCCACTAAATTATCCGTTTAAAATGAATTCTAAAGGTGGCTTCAAAGTTCATTATATTCTTCTACTCAGCTTGATCCTCACCATCTCTGTGAATCTCTAACTCTGTATTCGCATACAACTTCCCCTGATTACCTTAGCATATAAGTAACAGAAAATAGAGAATACCCTAAAATCTAGAAATCTACTTGTGTGTGTTCCCAGCCTGTTTTTCCCTTTTATAAATTATGCAATCAAAAATACCAAATTCCTTGTGCATGCCCAGCCAGGTCCTCAGTTCAGTGTTTTTTGAGCAGTAAACAAAACTCATTTCCTGCTTTCAGTGGTCTTTACTGGTTCTGCAGAAAGGAAGCCAAATACATAGTGCCCGATAAGTGCTTTGCAGAACAAAGCAGGGTAAAGATTAAACAATTGTGTCAGGCAACTTCTATTTTTAGATGCTGGAGAAGAACTCATTGATAAGGTGCTCTTAAACAGAAATGGGACTGACTTCATAGGGGTGACCCACATCTAGTGGATATCTACAGAAAGAATGTTCAAACATCGGAGACAATATTTGAATGCTTTGAGGTAAGAACGTGTTTGACAGATTAACAGGAAGAGTAGCACGAACAGTAACAAGGAAACAATGCTCATAGAAAACTGACTTTTATGGTCGAGTGAGGGGCAAGTGATAGAGATTACATAAGAAATTAGCCAAGTGCTCAACTATGCAGACTACAGTAGACATAAAATTATTTTTGCCAGTCACTACTAACACCATGGAAAGTTTTGAGCCAAAAAAATAATTTGATCAGATTTAAACCTCTTAACCGAACCGTTCTAGTTGTGGCATAGAAGCTTGTGGATCATGAGGCTAGACAGATAAAGAGGGAAGCAATAATCCTGGAGGAAGATAAGAAGATGATGATGTCCTGAAGTAGATGACGTCATTACGGCAGGGGAGAAGATGATGGGGTCCTGAAGTAGATGATGTCATTACGGCAGGGGAGAAGATGATGGTGTCCTGAAGTAGATGACGTCATTATGGCGGGGGAGAAGTGGTCAGATTTCAGGTCTATTTTGAAAGTGAAGTTGCCAGGATAGTCTGGTATTCTGGGTGTGTAGGTTAGAGGAGAGTCAGGAAAGATACTAGGTTTGGAGCCCAACTCACTAACTGGTAGGACAGTTGTATTATGCACCAAGGGGATGTTAGCAGATCCATGATCAGCAAGGAAGAGGAGTGCAAAATTGCTAGCTATAGCAATTTGGCAATAGATATAACATAATAAAGACATTTTGTTGAGTGACACAAGTCAGTCACAAAATTACACTCTTGAAACTGGAAAAATATGAAGGGTGATTATAAAGGGGTAGTAAAAAGGAAAACCTTTCAGTTGTTGTGCTTTGTATTAGTCAGGGTTCTCTAGAGATATGGAATGAATCTCTATCTATATATCTACACACACACACACACACACACACACACACACACACACGGAATTTTTGGAATGACTTACAGGCTGCAGTCCAGCTAATCCATCAATGGTTAGCTGTGAATGGAAAGCTCAAGAATCTAGTGGTTGCTCGGTCCCACAAGGCTGGATGTCCCAGCTGGTCTTCTGTGTATGCTGGAGTCCAGAAGAAGTAGCTCCAATGCCAGCAAAGGAATGGATGCACTAGCAAGGCAAAGGCAAGCAAGCAAAGAACAAGAGCTTCCTTCTTCCGTGTCCTTATATAGGCTTCTAGCAGAAGGTGTAGCTAGACTGAAGGTATGTCTTTCCACCTCAAGATCTGGATTAAAGGCAAGTGTCTTCTCACCTTAAGATCCTAATCAGAGGTGTATGTCATCCCACCCCAAGATCCAATCACAGATACGCCCTCCATTTCTGGATTGTAGTTCATCCCAAATATAGTTAAGTTGATAACTAAGAATAGTCATCACGTTTTTAATTTTTATTTGTGGGGGTGGGGACATACACATGGAGCCCAGAAGAGAACCTTGGGTGTCCTGTTTTACCCTTCTGTACCTTATTGCCTTAAGACAGGGTCTTTCACTGAATCTAGAACTAAGCTGGTAGCCAGCAAGTCCCAGAGATCCTCCTGTCTCTGCCACACCATAGCACTGAAGTTTTATGGATTTGAACTCAGGTCCTCCTTAGTTCTCAGAAATCTCCCGTTAGCCTCTTGTAATGTTGAATCTTCAGTATTCAAGCAAATTCAAGTCTCACCCACTTTCTTAGCGTATTTTTTGTTTTGTTTTGTCTTGGGGAGTGAACCTAAGGGCCCACACTTGTTAGGTAAACACTTTGCTACTAAGCTATATTTCCAGCCCCTTATTCTGTTTTGGTTGTTGTTATAGAATACCTGAGACTGAGTGCTCATTAACAAACAGCAAACAAAATACTCATGGGGCTGAGTGATAGATAAGTCTTCAAGGTACTTGGTACACAAGCATGAGAACCTAAGTTCCATTCCCAGAACCCATGTAAAAAAGCTGGGCACTGTGGTATGTGCCTGTAATCCCAGAGATAGGTAGATCCTCATGGCTGTAGGGCCAGTCATTTTAGCTTCATCCTAATCCAAGGCCAGTGAGAGACCCTCTCTCCAAAAACAAGAGGGACAACTCCTGGGGAAAAAAGACGCTTGAGGGGCTGGTGCGATGGCTCAGTGGTTAAGAGCACTGCCTGCTCTTTCAGAGGTCCTGAGTTCAATTCCCAGCAACCACATGGTAGCTCCCAACACATTTGTAGGGAGATCTGGATCTGGTGCCCTCTTCTGGCCTGCTGGCACCAGAACACTGTATACATAATAAATAAATCTTTAAAAAAGATAAAAAAAAAAGACACCTGAGGTTGTCCTGTGCCCGCCATACATATGCATGTGTACACACATGTGAGAAAGTTTAAGATTGACAGCCCCTATCTTGGTACCTTCATGATTCATCATTCTATGGCAGAAAGAGGAAGAGCAAGAGAAGCAAGAAAGGGACAAACTTGCTTTTGGAAGAAGCCTATCTAGATCATTCATTAATAACACTACTCTGCTCATGAAGGCAGAGCCATCATGACCTAATATCCTCACCTCCTAACAGTATTGTGTTAAACTCAAGTTTCCAACTCATGAATGCACAGGAATGTGTTCAAAGCAGCATGCCCATTTTTTTTCTTTAAAAAAAAGCCTTTCCCTTAATTCAACATTCTGTGACTAAAGTGTTATATTTCACTATTCTTCCTGTCAAAACTTAGAAGTATTGCTGTTCTTTTTGAAGCCCAAGAAGTTATCTTTTTCCTTCTAAAACATTTTATGGCTTCACATTGCTCTTGAGATCAAGGCCTAGATTTCTTCACATAGCCTGCAGGACCCTAGGGAGATCTAGCTTCTTGCTGATCTCTCCAGGTTACAGTTGTGGGTCGAGGAAAACAACCCCGATGATGTCAGTAGCTGAGACAGATTACTCTTTGCCCCATCCTAGGAATGGGTGCTAGGAAATGTGAAGTGAAGAGAATAGGGACCTCCCCTCTCTTGTTACTAGACATTCTCTGACTAAATAACTCCCAGTTGACCTAATGGCCAACAGACACAGGACGCCACTCCAA